TGGGTGAGATAGCTGTAGGTCTTAGAGATGGCATCAAAGGTGGCTTTGGCGAAGTTGCCCAGGGCGGCAGTGCAGCCCCTGGCCGAGGTATAGCAGTCGTCAATACCGGCCATCTTCAGCAACTTCGTAGGCACAGGGGCTGAGACAATGCCCGTACCCCTGGGGGGAGGGATGAGGCGCACCAGTGCAGAGCCACAGCGGCCAGTCACCTTGCAAGGACCGGTGTGGGGCTGGCCGATCTTGTTTCCCCAGTAGCCTCCCCACACAGGGACAATAGAGAGCTTGGCCAGGATAATGGCTCCACGGATGGCAGTGGCTACTTCCTTTGAGCACTTAACACCCAGACTGACATGTCCATTGTAGTCCCCAGTGGGACAAATGCCTTGAACCGGGTCCTCTGGCCAGCACGTGTCTGCTTTTGCACGGGCATAATCTTCAAGACCTCATCCTTGAGGGATGCCCCCAAGAGAAAGTCAATGATCTCAGATTCCTTGATGGGCAAGGAGAATAGACAGATTTCCTCTAGGGATTTGATCTTCATGTCCTTGACCAGGAGGCCCAGCTTGGTGACAGGGATCCACTCCTTGCCCTCGGCCTTGCCTCCACGAGCTCCACGGCCTCAGCCCCTGCCCTGACCCCAGCCGCGACCTGGGCCCCTAATGCCACTGCCAAATTGCCACGACCTCCTATTTTGGGGCCGCGGGACCTCTGGGCCCTTCCGTAGCACCGGCGTCATCTGCCTTTTGGAGTTTCGTCAGAAAAGAACTATTCACTCTTTCAACAAAATATTAATAATATACATGAATAACTATCCATACTCTTTGCTGGGTGCTAAGAATACAACAGTGACCAAAACAGATGTGGCCTCGACCACACTGAGTCCAGTGAGATTTTTGTGCCTTGGAACTTGTCAGTTATTAGAAGAAAACTTTTTGACCCCATCTAAAGCAGAAAAATTTAAATTGAAGCAGGGATGAAGTTTTAAATTAAAAGCTTAATAAAAGACTGAAGTTTCAAAAATAAAAGACTTAGGAAAATCAGTGTACTTTTGCAGAGTTTTGAATATAAGTGCTTCTACAAGATTTAGATCGCCTGTAAGGACAATTAGTAGGTCAGCACTGTACAAGTAAGAAAGGGAGTAGAAAGAAATAAGGTCTGTGAAGTAGACTGGAGCAAGTCCATGGAGGTTAAAAAAAAGAGTGAAACAAGGAAAGCAATTGTGAACTGAAAAGTGAAGTCAGTAATTTTCCAGCACAAAAGTCATAACCTCTGGTGCAGAATCAGAATTTAAGAACTAGTTTTGAAAGAAGCAGGATTTGGTTTAGAAATAAAAACTTCTATGCGATAGTTATATTCATATTTTGGTAACTTGTTTGTTTTAATATCAGTAAATAATATGTCAGAATATGCTATTAACTATAAGTAGTACATTTTATACATTGTAGTAAAACATTTTAAATATATTTTTACTATAGTGAACAGATTATGTTGATATATTTATTTACTTGGAAAAATCTTACTGCAAAATTTTTTTATATAATCTTACCTATTAAAATTAGGCAATTTTAGAAACAACTGAAAATCAACTGATGAATGGGTGAAGAGAATGTGTTACATTCATGCAATATAATGTTATTTGGCAATAAAAAGAATTGTGGTACTGATACATGCTACAATGTGGTTGGAGTATGTAATGAGCCATGCTAAGTGATAGAAGCAGGTCACAAAAGATCACATACTATATAATTCAATTTATATGAAACATCCAGAATAGCTAAATTTATAGAGATAGAAAGTAGGTGATGGTTGTATACTAGTGGGGGAAAGAATGGGGTTAGGGAAACATGGGGAGTGACTGCTAATGGGTATGGGGTTTCTTTTGGGGTGATGAAAATGTTCTAAAATTTGTTGTGGTCATGATTGCATAACTCTGAATATACTAAAAACCATTGAATTGTACAATTTTTTTCTTTAAGATTTTTAAAAATTGATTTTTGAAGAGAGAGAGAAAAAGGGAGTAGGAGTGAGAGCAGCAAGACATCAATTAGCTGCTGCCAGCATGCCCCCTACTGGAGGATTGAGCATGCAATTGGGGCATGTGACCTGACTGGAAATTGAACTGTAACCTCTTGGCTCATGGGTCAATGCTCAACCATTAAACATCGTTTTGTTTTAGGTGTATTTATGGTAAACAATATGTTGCTAGATTATCTCTCTTTTTAATCTCATCTGAGAGTCTTTTTAAAAAATTTATCTTTATTGTTGAATGTATTATAGATATCCCCTCTCCCCTTTAAAAATTTTTTTTTAAATTGATTTCAGAGAGGAAGGGAGAGGGAGAGAGGCAGAAACATTAATGATGATAGAGAATTATGGATCGGCTGCCTCGTGCACATCCTCCACTGGAAATCGAGCCCTCAACCTAGGAATTGAACTGTGACCTCCTGATTCATATGCTCAACCACTGAGCCACATGGGCCAGGCCCCTCTCCCTTTTTTGTCCCATTGACCCCCTCCACTCCACACCAACCTCTCCCAGGCCTTCACTTACCCAGGGGTCCTCAAACTTTTTAAACAGGGGGCCAGTTCACTGTCCCTCAGACCGTTGGAGGGCCGGACTATAGTTTAAAAAAAAAACTATGAACAAATTCCTATGCACACTGCACATATCTTATTTTGAAGTAAAAAAACAAATGTTTTCGGCGGGCCGCATGTGGCCCGCGGGCCGTAGTTTGAGGACCCCTGACTTATACTATTGTCTGTGTCCATGGACTATGCATCTATGCATATAAGTTCCCCAGTTAATCTCATTTTCTGACTGGCTTATTTTGCTTAGCATAATATTTTCCAGGTCCCTCTATGCCAGTGGTTCTCAACCTTCTGGCCCTTTAAATACAGTTCCTCATGTTGTGACCCAACCATAAAATTATTTTTGTTGCTACTTCATAACTGTAATGTTGCTACTGTTATGAATCATAATGTAAATATCTGATATGCAGGATGGTCTTAGGCGACCCCTGTGAAAGGGTCGTTTGACCGTCAAAGGGGTCGCGACCCACAGGTTGAGAACCGCTGCTCTATGCTGTCTCAAAGGATAAGAGATTCTTCTTTTTTAAAAAAATATATTTTATTTTATTTTTATTATTTTTTTAAATATATTTTATTGATTTTTTACAGAGAGGAAGGGAGAGGGTTAGAGAGTTAGAAACATCGATGAGAGAGAATCATCGATCAGCTGCCTCCTGCACACCCCCAACTGGGGATGTGCCCGCAACCAAGGTACATGCCCTTGACTGGAATCGAACCGAGGACCCTTCAGTCCGCAGGCCGATGCTCTATCCACTGAGCCAAACCGGTTAGGGCAAGATTCTTCTTTTTTACAGCTGCATAGTATTGCATGGTGTAAATGTACCACAGCTTTTTAATCCACTTGTCTACTGATGGGCATTTGGGCTATTTCCAGATCTTAATTATTGTAAATTGTGCTGCTATGAACATAGGGTGCATACATTCTTTCTGATTGGTCTTTGAGGTTTCTTAGGATATAGTCCTAGAAGTGGGATCACTGGGTCAAAAGGCAGTTCCATTTTTAATTTTTTTAGGAAACTCCATACTGTTTTCCATAGTGGCTGTACCAGTCTGTATTCCCACCAGCAGTGCACTAGGGTTCCCTTTTCTCCACATCCTCACTAGCACTTGTCATTTGTTGATTTGTTGATGATAACCATTCTGTCAGGTGTGAGGTGATACCTCATTGTTGTTTTAATTTGCATCTCTCTGATGATTAATGACTTCGAGCATTTTTTCATATGTCTCTTGGCCTTCCTTATATCTGTGTTGAAGAAGTGTTTATTTAGGTCCTTTGCCCATTTTTTAAATTGGAATGTTTGTCTTCCTTTTGTTGAGATGTATGAGTTCTTTAAATATTTTGGATATTAACCCCTTATCAGATGTATCATTGGCAAATATGTTCGCCCATACCTTGGGTTCCCTTTTCATTTTGATGGTTTCTTTTACTGTGCAGAAGCTTTTTAGTTTGACGTAGTACCATTGCTTATTTTTTTCCTTTCTCTTGCCCTAGCAGATTTTTTGGCGAAAATTGTGCAACCTGAGATGTTTGAGATTTTGCTGCCTATGGTTTCTTCTAGGATTTTTATGGTTTCACAACTGACATTTACGTCTTTTACACATTTTGCATTTATTTTTATCTATGGTGTAAGTTGGTGGTCTAGTTTCATCTTTTTGCATGTTGCTGTCCAATTTTCTCAGCACCATTTGTTGAAGAGACTGTCTTTAGTCTATTGTATGTTCTTGCCTTCTTTGTCAAATATTAGTTGACCATAATGGTGTGGGTCTATTTTTGGATTCTCTTTTCTGTTCTATTAATCTATATGCCTGTTCTTGTGCCAGTACCAAGCTATTTTGATTACAGTAGCTTTATAGTATAACCAAAGTTATGTAGTATAAGTTGGTATTTGCTATTGTGATCCCTCCAACTTTGTTCTTCTTTCTCAAAATTGCTGCAGCTATTCGGGGACTTTTTTTGTTCCATATGAATTTTTGGAGTATTTGTTCTAGATCTATGAAATATGCCATTGGTATTTTAATAGGAAAGGGTTTATTTATTTATATTTTAAAAATTTATTTTTTATTGATTTCAGAGAGGGATGGAGAGAGAGAGAAACATCAATGATGAGAGAGAATCACCGATTGGCTGCCTCCTGCATGCCCCCAACTGGGGATTGAGCCAACAACCCGGCCATGTGCCCTGATGGGGAACCAAACCGTGACCTCCTGGTTCATAGGTTGATGCTCAACCACTGAGCCGTTGCGGGCGGGCAGGGAAGGGTTTTTTAATGAGACTAACCTTTAAATTGGTAGACTGGGCAAAGCAGCTTGCCCTCCCTAATATGTGTGGGCCTCCCTAATCAGTTGAAGGCCTTACAGTTCTGTAAAAATGTTTAGTCACCTCCATTAACCACTTTTTTTAATGTTTCTAGGTTATTGAATCTTTGGGTATTATTATTTATAAAGCACTGGACTATGGTTTGAAGGAGAATGAAGAAAGAGAATTAAGTCCTCCCCTGGAGCAACTCATCGATCACATGGCCAACACGGTCGAAGCAGATGGTAGCAATGATGAGGGTTATGAGGCTGCAGATGAAGGTCTGGAAGATGAAGAAGATGAAAAGAGAAAAATTTCAGCTATCCGGTCATATAGAGATGTCATGAAGGTAAAGCAGCAGTTTACATAGTACTGATTTCTTTCAAGAGTTATTTCACTTAAAAAAATTGATGATTCAGTATTTGATAATAGTTCTTAGACTTCTCGATTCTGTGATTTGTTCAGAGCTTCAATATGACCTTTTAAAAACCACTTTTAGGTATTCATATGTCCTTTATCTGATAAAGTTTATCATATGTCTTCAATTGACTTATGCATTTTTCTTTTTAAAATTGAATAAACAACAATTGTGATCCATTTATTTATAGGACGATTCTGAATCTGAACTATCACAACTGGTTATTTTACTTTGTTTTCTTGACCTATCCATTGCTATTATTCTATCATTTTCAAATAGACTCTAACTAATTCTAGTAAGCTCGACGGTGCTGTTGGATATTTATTAGTTTAGTGGACCACTTACTGATGGTTTGTGATGCGTTAAGCTTTGACTAATGGGAATTGCGGAATTGCCTTGCTGTCTGATGTGAAAATACAAATATACTAGGTATGTCTGTTTTTACTAGTAAGGTACAAAAAACCCAAATAATAAACAAGCATCATTATTTTCTTCTTCTGTAGTTATGTGCTGCTCATCTCCCAACTGAATCAGAGGCACCAAATCATTATCAGGCAGTATGTCGTGCACTGTTTGCAGAAACAATGGAACTGCATACATTTCTGAGTAAAATTAAAAGTGCAAAGGAGGTAAGTACTATTGCTTTCATACTTATTAGCATTGTGAAAGATAAACATAAATTTTCAAAATTGTCTGTCATATTATTTAAAGTATTTATTATCATCCTTCTGATGAATGCTAAAATTCATTCAAGAAAGAAGCAACTTAGGCAGGATTTACTTATTTTATTGTTGAGTGTATGACAGATGTCCCCCATTTTCCTCCCTTTGCCGCCTCCTACTGGACTCCCACCACACCCCAGGCCTTCACCTGTCTATTGTCTGTGTCCCTGGCTATACATATATGCATATAAGTTCTTTGATTAATCTCTTCCCGCCCTCCCTCCAACCTTCCCTCTGTCTGTTCTATGCTTCCATGTCTATGGTCCTGTGGGTGAAACCATTTTATAAAACAAAGAGTTTTATAAAGCATCCTTATAAATGGGAAATAAATAATACTTAATTGGTTTAATCAATTTCTCATATGACTTGATTTTTCACTCTTTCTGCCATTCTTTTGTCCACTTTAAAACATGTTAGTACATCTTTCAGGAATGGATAAGGACTCTCAAAGGAGGCTACACCTTTGATATTTTAACTCTTTTATAGTTAAAGTGTTTAGTGCTGGCCTGCAGACTGAAAGGATTTGATTAAATATTTAATGGAAGAGATGTGAATTATTCACATTATCCAAAATATTATTTTATCTATTTTATTTATTACGTCTATGAGTTAAAAATATTATATGTAGAGTACAACAATAAGCATTCTAATTTATTTACTAGGTGAATTGCCATATTTTACATTACACAGAAGGTCATCGAGATTCATGAGTTCTGTATAAAGCAGCACAGCATCTCGCACACAGTAACAGCTCAGTAATGATAGGTAGTGGGTATTGTTCCTTTTATGACTAAAGTAGAGAGTTTATCTGAAACGCTAGTTTAGAACTTAGGATGACACAGTTTGCGGAGGTACGCATGTAGGATATGTAAGGGAGGAAGGAAACAATTAATCTATATTAATCAAATAAGACCAATTAGCTCTGGTAATCAGTTAATAACAGATGTCTCAGCCAGGTCACCCTTAATAAATCACCTTGAATAAATCCATTGTATATGTATGAATCAGAACTCTAATCATGCCTCTTCAGTTCTAGCCAGGCTACTGCTTAAAGTCTGTCTTTTTATGTTAGGCCAATGAAAAGCTATGTCTATTTCTTTTTAGGATTTTATAGAGCTGGACCCAAGAGGCAAGTCTTCAACAGGGTGAAAAGGGTGAACTATATGTCATTTGAAGAGTAATGATATAGATCATGAGTCACTTTTCCTCCTGGACAGAACCAGAGGATGTAGGGTTCGATTAAAAGCTTCAGAGTAAACATCTGAAAGCACAGCCTCAATTATGGTTTTGTAAGTAGTAGAAAATATTACTTTAAAAAAAATGTGTATTTTTTTTATTGATTTCAGAGAGGAAGGGAGAGGGAGAGAGAGATAGAAACATCAGTAATGAGAGAGAATCACTGATTGGCTGCCTACAGCACCCCCCCCCCCCACTGGGGACCAAGCCCACCAACTGGGGCATGTGCCCTTGACTGGAATTGAACCCAGGACCCTTCAGTCTGTAGGCCAGTGCACTATCCACTGAGCAAAACCAGCCAGGGCAGAAAAGATTACTTTTTAAGGTTATAATGATTGAAATTGCCTTATCCAGAAACGTTAAGCTTTGTTTTTAGGGTGGAAGTACAGTCCTGTGGGTTTACTAGAGTAAATTAAATGGCCTCTTTTTTTTTTTTAAAGTTCTTGCAACACACATTCTTAGAAACTATTTCTGAGCTTAAAGACAATAATAAGTATTTTTCTATTCTAGTAAGCTTTAAAAATTTTTTTTTGTTCTTGATTAGAACTCCTGACCCTTTGGTACATGGGCTGACCCTCTAATCTCTGAGCCACACTGGCGAGAGATAAGTACTTTTTAGTCTCTGATTCCCTCTTGGGAAGCTGCTCTTTCCTCCACATCTTCATACCACTGGACTGGGGAGGGTTAGTAATAGTCTCTCTCTCTACTATTTCCAAACAATTACTCTTTTTATCCTTGAACAAAAAGCTCATGCGGTCCACTTCTGTTATTCTTAAACCCATTGTCACTGTCATCTGCTATCACCTTGAGTGATTTCTTTGATAAAAAGGACCTATAGCTTGGTATTCTTTTTTTAAAATATATTTTATTGATTTTTTACAGAGAGGAAGAGAGAGGGATAGAGAGTTAGAAACATCGATGGGAGAGAAACATCGATCAGCTGCCTCCTGCACACCTCCCACTGGGGATGTGCCTGCAACCAAGGTACATGCCCTTGACCGGAATCGAACCTGGGACCTTTCAGTCAGCAGGCTGGTGCTCTATCCACTGAGCCAAACCGGTCAGGGCTAACTTTGTATTCTTGACTTCTCCTCTACTTTAGTACTCTGCATACCTGAATACACCATTGTCCTTGAAATAATCTGCAGTCATTCCACCTTGGAAGTCATGGGCTCTCAAACCCCACTTCATAACTGCCCCCTGCCCTTTGAGCTCTTCCCCTCACTGCACCTGACCTAGTCTTCCAGTCCCTTGCTGCCCCCCATTTTCTTCCAGTCTATCACTTCCTGGAATCACTTTCTTTTCTACATGGATTAGGGTCAATCACTTTATCAGTTCAGGTCTCCATGTCCAACCTAGATTACTGCTTGTCTCATCATCACTGTGAATCCTCTCCATACAGTCCTCTTCCACATTGTTGATGAGTGATTCTTGGAGATGAAAGAGCTGACCTGAGCAATCTGGCTCCAGGCCCAAACCTCTGTGTGCTCCTTCAGCCTGACCATGTGCTGGCTTTCCTTGGCAGGCCTCACAGGAGAAGCTGCCCTCCCCACATGGGACTCGGTGCACAGACAGTGTCCTGCATTCTGGTTTTCGCCAGGATGGCAAGGACTCAGAACATTCCACTCAGCCAGCCATGCTCGAATGTACACTGTTTTCCTAGCCCGGTGCTTCTACTTGAAGGCCCTTTGTTGAGACGTTTTCCTCCCTCTGACTCAGAACTTTCCATTTTTAGCCTTCCCTCTTTCCCTCCCACTGGTCCTCAAGTCCATCAAATGGCAGAACCTTTTTCCAGAATTCCTCAGCAGTAGGAAGATTTCCCCCACCTGCATTGCATGTCACCTAACCCTAGCTCACTGCTATTCTGTAGGGGGAAAATGGAACAAGGGGAACAAAACATCCTTTTTGGCCTCTTGTTCACACTGTTGCAGTAAGTGAGTAAAGGCTTGATTATTACTTTCAGTTTGTCTCATCCTCCCTGATCACTAGATACCCAACAGAGCTATGCTGCTCCCCTTAATAGGACTCCCCATCACCTATATCAAAACTCCATTGTATTCCACACAGGCCCTTCATGGTATTTCATGTTCTTGTGTTTTTATTCTCCTTTTCAACACTATCTTTGCATTTAAGTTATCCAATAAAAATTATTATATTTCCGAATACATCATGTGATTATATATTTGTGACCCTTTACATTCTGTTCTTTCTGTCTGGAAATTCTTTCTCCCCTTGTCTGCTTGGTGGACTCCTATTTATCCATTTAAACTCCGCTTACATTTTACCTCCATGTGAAATATTTTTAAAAAATGTAATTTATTGATTTCAGAGAGGGAGAGAGAGAGATAGAAACATCAATGATGAGAGAGACTCATTGATCGTCTGCCTCCTACACGCCCCACACTGGTGATAGAGCCCACAACCTGGGCATATGCCCTGACCTGGAATGAACCATGACCTCCTGGTTCATAGATCAACACTTAACCACTGAGCCACACTGGCCGGGCTCCACGTGAAATATTCATGACCTCTTTCCAGTTTTATGTCCTCCATGACCTTTATATCTCATACATCCTTCAGTCTCACACTTCTGATACTCCATGGTAGTTACTTCCTTATGCACTTACTAGAGGCCTGGTGCACAAGAATTTGTGCACTCGGGGGGGGTCCTTCAGCCCGGCCTGTGCCCTCTCACAGTCTGGGACCCCTCGGGGAATGACCACCTGCTGGCTTATGCCCCCACCCTGGGGATTGGGCCTAAGCTGGCAGTCAGACATCCCTCTGGCAGCCCGGGAGCCCTTGGGGGATGTCTACTTGCCAGCGGGGAGCAGGCCTAAGCTGCAGTTGGACATCCTTAGCGCTGCCGAGGAGGCGGGAGAGGCTCCCACCACCACCGCTGTACTGGCAGCCGTCAGCCTGGCTTGTGGCTGATCAGAGCTATCCCTGTGGGAGCGCAATGACCACCAGGGGGCAGCTCCTGCATTGAGCATCAGCCCCCTGGTGGTCAGTGTGTGCCTTAGTGATCAGTCATTCCCAGTCCTTCTGCTGTTAAGGTCAATTTGCATATTACCCTTTTATTATATAGGAGTGCCTGGCCAGCCTGGGTGAGGGGCTGATGGCAGTTTGCAGGCTGTCCAAGCCCCCCAGCGGGCACCCTCACCCCATGAGGGTGTGGCCAGCCTGGGTGAGGGGCTGATGGCTGTTTGCAGACTGACCACAGCCCCTTCAGGGTGGGGATCCCCGCTGGAGTGCTTGGCCAGCCTGGGTGAGGGGCTTATGGCTGTTTGCAGGCTTCCCACAGCCCCTTCAGGGTAGGGGTCCCCCCTGGGGTGCCTGGCCATCCTGGCTGAGGGGCTGAGGGCTGTTTGCAGGCTGGCCACAGCCCCTTCAGGGTGGGGGGTCCTACTGGGGTGCCTGGCCAGTCTGGGTTAGTGGCTGATGGCAGTTTACAGGCTGTCCAAGCCCCCCAGCGGGGACCCTCACCCCATGAGGGTGTGGCCAGCCTGGGTGAGGGACTGATGGCTGTTTACAGGCTGGCCAAGCCCCCCAGCGGGGACCCTCACCCCATGAGGGTATGGTCATCCTGGGTGAGGGGCTGATGGCTGTTTGCAGGCTGGCCACGGCCCCCAGCCACCCAAGCTCCCAGTGGAGGCTGGCTGGAAGCAGGTATC